TCCTGTGGCTGTTGTATTTTGGATTTTACCCCACACAGTGTGCAGGGAGCATAGAGGAGCTGGCAAGGGTCGTGTCGAGGCCACGTGGCTTCTCCTGGCCCTTAAACCCTGTCAGGGAGGAGGACACAGTTGGAGGGGATTATTTGAGTGGATTCTCCCCTCAGCCTGGACCAAAACAAGAATTATGCCCAGCCCTGGCCGGGACTGGCTTTGTGCAGCACAATGGGGACAATCTCAGGGATATCAGCTGGTGGCTTGGCCCCAGCAGGGCTGAGCTGGGTCATTAATATGCATCAAGAGCCTTAAAGCAAAGCCCATCTGACACACAAACAGCCCCCACCAGCACCAGCCGGGATCCTCCTGGGCCACACACACGAACGAGCTCCTCTCTCGCCGTGTCCCAGCTCATGGAATCATGGAATATCCCGTGGGCAGGGACACCTTCCACCAGCCCAGGTTGCTCCAAGCCCTGTCCAGCCTGGCCTTGGACACTCCCAGGGACGGGACAGGCTGTGCCAGGTCCCTGCCAGTGTTTGTGGCTGCTCTGAACCCTGCAATCCCCCCGGGGAGCACACGAGTCCCTGCGGCTCCAACACGGCCGTGCCGGGGCAGGTTCCCATCCTGGCTGTCCTTTGGAATCCACCTGCCCAGCAGAAAGGATCCAACACCAAACACTCCTCCTTCTCCGCTGTATTCCAGCTCCAGATCCCCAGGCAACCCTCCGGAGCGTTCCTGGGTTCATTTCCTCCTCCCAGCCTTGCCTCGCTCTTCCAATATTGCTTCATGGCTCTGTAGGGGAAAAAGTCATTAAATACACCTACTTCTTGCTTTTATCACTGATCTTATTATCTTGTAATTCCCCTCCCAGAGCAGTAAATTAGTGTGAACTAACTTCTATCCAATTTCAATGGATTTGTAAATAATCTGGTAGTAGTAAAAAAAGAAAAAAAAAAAAGCCTGTCTTTGTCATTTCTGCTTATTCTTTATCCTAAAATATAAGGGAGAAGGGGCTTTTTTTTTTCAATCTATCCATGCAAATCCACTTAAGGCTGTGTCCAGGATGACTATGCTCAGTGATTAAGGAAGACTAAAGTGGAAGGGATGAGGGACTGAGTCACTGCCCCACTACCTGTGCCCGTGCCCAGCAGCAGCCCGAGGTGCCAGACGTGGTGAGTGAGGTGGGTGAAGGTTCCTCTGCCCAAACCTCCTCCGGGGGGAAACAAGTCCCTGGTGCTTCACCCCCTGTTTGCAGCCAAAGTGCAAAAAAAAAA